CCAGATTGCATACCACAGCAAACTTGAAGCCCACCGCTCCCCTGTTAAAAGAGAAATCGTGAGATTCCCTGTGGTTCCAAGGGTTTCACACACAGATAAAGGCTCGTAAGAGCAGAATCAGTGGACGAAGTCCCAGTTGCACTAGCCCTTTAAAGGAGGCTAAAAATTTTGCAGGTACGTGGAAATGGCGTCCCACTTCCATATCCCCCGATGCATCGCCAGCTTCGTTGACCATGCTTCGCACAGCATGGCACTTGGCTGATTTAATTAGACTGCTCTGGCCGCTTTGAGAAGGGGCACCTGCGCGTCCACTCCATGTCGTCCGCCTTTCCAGTGTTCACTCTACCTTTGGGATTTGGGCGTGGGATGTGAGCAGAAAAAACATCGCGCTGGCAAACCTTTCTCAATTCAAATTCAAAGATTCTTGCCCCATCCCCCAAACGTCCGTCCTATGCAAATCCTTTTCTGCTGCCGCACTATTGCCGGTACAGTGGCCGCTCACAAATTACTAGCACCGAATTCTGCGCCAACCAACTTTGGTCTGCCTGATCCATGGCGGCAGCCTCCTCCCGCCATTTGTTTGATGTCAAAATGAGCATGCAGTTGTACACCCACACCTTGTACGAGTACATGTTCGTGCTCGAATGTGACATGGACACTTCTTCGACTCCACCCTGAAAGAGCTTCTTGTGCGCTATCACCATAGCCGGTGAACCCTCATCAAACACGATGGCTTTGTGTCGCAAAGGGTCAAAAGCCCTCAAGTCTGGTTCCGACACGTTTGCGCAGTTTACTTCCAAAGTGTTTGCCTCTCCAGCCAGGCTGCTGGCGTAGATGGTTTTGCCTAGACGGGTAGGCCCATCCAGCACCAAAAATTTCCGCCGGAAAGCCAGGGAATTGAATTGTGGTAGGAAGTCAGCATCTACAGCATCGATCCGCACTGCCTCTTTTTTGAGAAGCTGCAGTTCTCCCAAGGCCTGCGCCTTCTTTTCTGCCACAGCCTGCGCCCGCTCACATTGTGAGTGGTAGTGCACATTGTCAACATAAGCTCGAACGTGCTTCTTAGCGCGAATATACTCTTTCTCTGCTGTGTCCTTGGTGATCTTGCAGGTTTGCCACAATGACGTGATCCATTCGGGAGTCACAGCAAATGCATCATATGCGGGGGAATTGGTGCGCATGAAAATACCGCCTATCTTTGGGACCTGCAAATAGAAGTGTCCTTGGTCGTAGGCTCTCTTGCATGCCCGACCTCTGGCGTGCGGGGCGTCCACAGAAATGTGAGGTCCTGCGCCACGAAAATCAAGCGCGCTCTTCGGTAAAATCACAGGCTTCCTGCTATCAAACATCGCATGAAAGTGAATGGAGGGGACTTGAGTCTGAACCGACACTTTGCAATGCAGCTCCAAGGCCAGAGTCCAGCGGTCCAAGTGGAAAGAGGCCTGGAGTCTTTCAAAGAAGGCTGTGAACTCGTCCCAGAGCGCACAAAGTTGCGGGTGGCCCCGTAGCTTGGCGCAAACATCGGGAATAGTTTCTGCCTGTCCAGCCGCCAGCAAAGCTGAGGTCTCAGCGTCGACAATCTTGCTGAATGAGCCTGAATACCGAAACATGGTGCCATTGCCTCTATAGCAAGCTGGTACACGGGTCTCCTCAACAATTGGTCTCTCTGACTGCCACAAGCTCAACAATGCTGAGGCCGCAGCGCGAAAGTGTACAGGAAAATCGGCTTCCAGCCGGAGCCTCAACCACGCAGCTTTGTCTTCCGGAGCCAAGGCATTGAACGCCAAGCGCAATGTATTCCGAACTGCGTGTCCTGTCAGGCCTTCCCTGCTCATGCGGCTTGCAACCCATCTGTCGCGAAGCCACGTCGTAAGCACGTTGCGCGCATCTCTGTTGTTTTGCCCCTCTGGCGCCGGTTGCTTGCCCATCAAGCGACGCCGCTTAAGGTCAGGCATGGCTGGCAAATTACGAATTTATGCTTGCAGCTTCGTGTGTGCTGAGCAGCACCTTGTGCTATGTGGACACATGGCGCTGCTGGCTTTGTCACGCGATGTGGTAGAATAACACTTACGGACTCTTTGCTTTGCAAACGCATGCACGTGCACAGCTCATACACTCTTGAACACTCATGGTTCTACGGGGCGTGTCTGCAAAGCTCTATATGTACCTACTTGGCCACTGGAAATGCATGGCATGGGTAGCCCTGCACGCACAAAAAAAAACGCGAGCAGCTCCATAGTTCAGTGTCACATGTCTACACCTTTTGTTCTTTTTCCTCTCAGGACGTGCATTGCTTGTCCAGGCCCAGGAAAAAGCAGATTGGACGCTTTTTCCAGGCCCGGGTAGAAGCAAATTTGCCAAGCTGCACCGCCAGGGCAAAAAAGGCGCAGTCCAGCCACTTCCTGCTCAGTTTTCTCTCTTGCACGCCACCATTTTTAATCCTCTTCAGTTTCCTCGCTCAAACGGTTTCCCTGCCACCA